TATAACCTCAAAACTTTTAGAACTTACCTAGTCATATTAAGAAATACAACAGATTTGAACGTTACTTGAATAAATAACAATAACAAGTTTTAATATGAATTGCTTTCTAAATAAATTATAAACAAATAAGCCGTATATATAACACAATAACGTCACACGGCTTCGTACTTTTTTATACTGAAATTATATTAGCAGAGTAGGTTAAATATATTCCTGTTTCTTCATATTTTGATAAGTTTTAGAATACACAAAAATTAATTATAAATAACAAATTCAATTATAAAAAATATTATATAAAAATATTATTTATATAAAAATAATTTACATTTTTACAAATTATATATTTGAAAATTCATATACTCATAAAATTTTAATAGAATACAATATTTGATTTAATAATATGTTTTATATTATTTCAAATTTATTTATATTTATTTCTTTTATCATTATATTTTATTATAATATTAAATATATAATAAAATATATTTAATCATAAAATATAAATAGAAAATAAATATTTAAAATAATATCAAATTATGTATTGTATGTATAATTAAAGTATGAATTTTTGTTATGTGTAAATAATTTAGATATCTACAATTATACGATATTTTTTAATATATTTTTAATAATTAAAATCTCAAAAAATAATTTTAAATAATAAATATATATTACATAAATATAAATACATAAAAATGTTGAGTTTAAAATTCTATATAAAATAAAGAAAGTATAAATAAAAAAATATTACTTTATATATTTTGTCTTTCATAAATAAATTTTACAATAAATCAACTTAAAATATTTTATAAATTAATGATTTGTTTTAATATATGATTTAATATTTATTTATAGAAAATAACTAGTTAAATCGATTAATATATTCAAATATATATGATTCCATTTAAAAAAATTGATAATCATTATATATATTAAGGTATATTTTATATTTTTTGAATTGTTCTAGATATATATTACAAATTAATTATTTACAAAATAATTTGAAGAAAATTTTTTATGAAAATATATCTAGTTGATATATATATGATTATAAAAAAAAAAAATATATAAACAAGAACAATAAATAATAAGACAAGAATAGAGACATTCGTAAAATTCGAGAATTAACGCTATTTTTAGAGTGATATAAATAATTAATACAGGACAGAAAATAGTGGCAGAAAATTAGAGATAGGATAAGAATTAACTGCCAGCGTTATCTCTAAAATATCAAACATATTTTTTTAAAGAATTATCTTTTTAAAATTACAGATGGTACTAATCTTAAATTCCTATTTTACTTTATCTTGTCTTTGATATTTAAGAGATGGTATTTTATAATCAATTTTTGTTTTATGTATATCTTTATTCTATTTATTCTATTTTTGGGTCTATCTTCTATATGCTTTTAATGTATGATCATAGACAAGCAGATAAACACAATATTAATTCACAATTTATTTTTATAGTTCAAGATTTAGAATGTATCTAAAAATTTCTATTGTATATATTTCATTGCATTCTATCATTTAATTTTTTAATTTCATATATTAATGATTTTTAAATATTTAAAAAAATTTTATTTTGGAAAAAATTAAATATTAAAATTTAAAAAGATATAATTTTATTTTTGGAAATCAAATCTATAATATTAATATTATATATTATTATATATTAATTTCCATGATATTAATATATAAAGTAATATTGCATTGTAATAGATTCGAAATATATAATATCGATTCTAAACTATATTATAAATAAAAATCTAATAAATTAAAAATAAATTATAAATAATAATATATAATAATATAATTATTTTTCTATTTTTTAAAATATTTCTAATTTTCGTTTAATAAAAACAGTTTTTTCTAATTAAAAAGATATATATAATGAAAGTTGAGAATGATAAATAAAAGATATTACCTTAAAATATAAGATAAAAAATACATTGAATATCAAATCTATTATGTAGTTTATCTGTGATATTATGAGATTTAAATTCAAAATAAATATATACACATATATATACAACAGTAGAGTTAAGAAAAGTGTTGTATATTGTATTATATTAAACGTTAAGTATAATTTATTTTTTATATCATATTTTTTTATTTTTAATGACAATGTCATGTAATAAAAGAGAACATAATGAAAGTGATAATGAAGATTGGATTGGTCCATTACCTTCAGAAGCTGTACCTCAAAAGAAACAAAAAGGTTAGAATACCATAACTTTTATTTTATATTTATTCTTTCTACTATTTTATAAATTAAATAAGAATTTTTTTTAATTAGTTGTTTATATTCTCTCATGTCTATAAAATTTTAATATGATTTTGAATTATAAAAAAAAATATTGATATTTATATGAAAAAAAAGGGATAACCTTAAATTATTATGTTATTATTTAAATTTATATTTTAATATTAATGATGAATAAATAAATAAATAATATTTGAATTTCTTTTACTTTGATAAAATTATGAATTATAAATTTAATAAAATTTTTTAAACATTGTACATATTTAACTATATTAAATATAATTTTTAGTATTATTTATTTAATTAAATTTATTTAATTTTTGCAGTTCTGGAATATGAGCAAGTATACATAGATAACTTACCATGTTGTGAATGTTATGAAAAATCTTATATGCACAGAGATGTAATCACTCATATTGTGGTAACAAAGTTAATATTAATTTATATATAATAATTTTAATAATAATAATTTATAAGTTATATAATATAATATAATATAATATAATTTTATATTTATATAATTTATATCTTTATACAGATCAAATTTTATTATAACGGGTAGTTGTGATGGTCATGTTAAATTTTGGAAAAAACAAGAAGAACTTATAGAATTTGTAAAACATTTTCGTGCACATTTAATGGCTATACAATCTATGGCTGCTAGTTGCAATGGTGTTCATGCATGTACTGTGAGTTTAGATAAAACAATTAAAATTTTTGATGTTATCAATTTTGGTAAATAACTTTATATATATATATTTTAAATTATATACATATAATTTAATTGTTAGTAAAATATTAATAGTTTTATTTTAGATATGATTAATATGATGAAGCTGGATTATATACCACTTTGCTGTGAATGGATATATTCTCCTGGTGATGCAATATCTGCAATAGCAGTTTCTGCTCAAGAATCTAATAAAATTTTTATTTATGATGGACAAGGAACTAATATACCATTACATGTTTTTGAAAAATTACATACTAAACCTGTAGTTGCTATGAAAGTAAAAAAAAAAAGAAAAAAAAATAGCATAAATAATTTTATTTTTTGATTTTATTTATATAATCTTATATAAATTTTTATTTGTAGTATAATTCGATATATGAAATATGCATCTCTGTGGATAAAGCAGGCATTTTAGAATATTGGACAGGACCTAAAATGGAATATAAGTTTCCTAAATGTGTCACATTTGAATCTAAGCTAGATACAGATTTGTTCGAATTTGCAAAAAATAAAACTTATCCTTGTGGATTAGCAATATCTCCAGATGGTAAAAGATTTGCTTCTCTCAGTGGAGATCGAAAAGTTAGAGTTTTCACTTTTCGTACCGGAAAATTGTATAGAATATTTGATGAAACATTACAAAGATTTTCTGAATTACAACAAGTGACGCAACAATTGCCAAATATGGAATTCGGACGAAGGTAACATTTTTTTCCAATTAAATTAGATTATAATTTAAATTCTTTTTTATTAAAATTTTAATTATATTATTAATTATATTATATTTAGAATGGCAGTAGAAAGAGAACTGGATAAAACAGAAACAAATTTAGGAAATATAGTTTTCGACGAATCGGGTTATATAGTTTTATATAGTACAATGTTAGGTGTAAAAGTTGTAAATTTGTATACAAATCGATGTATTAGAATTATGGGAAAACCTGAAAATATTCGTCCTATGCAATTAGCTTTATTTCAAGTATGTATAAACAAATTTGTAAATTTATTTTTATTAATACTAATTTATATTGTAAAAATTTATAGGGAAAGGCAAGAAAAACTACAGCTGCAGTGACTGTAGAGATGGAAGCTGCAGAAAATCCTACATTAGAAATGAATCGTCCTGATCCAACTCTTTTTTGTACAGCTTATAAAAAGAATAGATTTTATATGTTTACAAGGAGAGAACCTGAAGATACTAAAAGCCAAGAATGTGATAGAGATGTTTTTAATGAAAGACCATCAAAAGAGGATATTATTTCCTCTACAGAAGCTACGAATGTACAGAAGATTTATGATCAAGCAATTATTCATACTGCTCTTGGAGATATTCATTTAAATCTTTTTGGAAAAGATGTTCCAAAAACAGTGGAAAATTTTTGCGTTCACGCAAAAAATGGTTATTATAATGGACATATTTTCCATAGAATAATTAAAGGATTTATGATTCAAACCGGTGATCCTACTGGAACTGGTACTGGTGGAGAAAGTATATGGGGAGGAGAATTTGAGGATGAATTTAAATCCCATTTAAAACACGATAGACCATATACTTTAAGTATGGCCAATGCTGGACCAAATACAAACGGCAGTCAATTTTTTATCACTTTAACACCAACTGTAAATTGAAATAATATTCTTTTTTTTTTTTTAATAACGATTAATATTATGTGTAATTTTTAATTATAATTTTTAATATATATGTTAATTAATATTTATTTTATATCTGTTCTAGCCTTGGTTGGATAATAAACATACTGTATTTGGTAGAGTTATAAAAGGAATGGAGGTTGTACAAAATATTAGTCAAGTAAAAACAAATCCAAAAACTGACAAACCTTATGATGATATTCGAATAGTTAGCGTTACTGTGAAATAAAATTTCAAAATTAATATATAAAATATTTTTATATAAATTTCTTTTATGGTATATGTACTATAAATAATAATAAATATAATAATAATAACAATAACAATAATAATAATAATAATAATGATAAAAATAATGATATAATAATAATAAATTCTTAAAATCCTTATTCTTTATCCTTTTGCATATGATAAAGCAATCCTCTCAAAAAACTGTACGTCCCTGTGCAGCACACAAATGCATTTACACTAAACAAATTGTAATTTTTTGGTGTGATAACTAGGGAATATCTAATGAATAAATAATAGATTTTTTATTATAATATAATTTAAAATAATATATACATATATATCTTTGAGAAAAAATAATATTATTTAAAAGATACCTAGACCATATAGCACCAGTAATCATAAGACTTGCAGTTTGACTAAGAGAAATTGTTTCTGGTGGTCGTCTAAGATCTCCAATTCCCGCTATTACCAAACCCCATTTAAATGTAGGTGCCCAGAAGAATACTGTAGTTGGTCCTGTATTAATAAAAATGTTAATAATAATAATAATAATTTAATAATAATTAAATTTTATAGATTGTATTCATAAAAATTGATTTCAACCTGCAGGATGTAAAAAAATAGGAGCGAATCTTGATGGAAAAACAGAGGCTATTTTTATCATAAGTTGTTGATAAGGAGTCTTTTTCTTTTCTTCTGGTGGCTGCATTATATGCCAACAATAAAATTTTAAATCGTAAAATAAATAGATTATAAAAACGTTTTAAAATCGTCTAAAAAAAAAATTATATATAGAATAATTCAATATAAAATTGTAAATGATCATCTAAAGAATAAAAGATTGACAAGTGGTACAAAAACATATAGTTGGTGATGCTTATAAACAAAATTTATTTTGAAGATTAAAAACAATTATATTTAATTTTTTAATTCTAATCAAATTATTCATGAAAGTATATTTATGATTGTTATTATAAATATTAATAAATATTCAATTTATTTTAATTGTGAAATAAAAAAATATTTTATAAACAATTTTATATTTTATGTATGAAATAAAATTACACTAGAACATTAACAATAAATTTAAGAAAAATTATTGAAATAAATATTATCTACATTAAAATTTTTTCAAATATATATTTTATATAAATATATTTTATTTTTTTCTTTTCGTTATTCTATTTTGTTAAATTATTAATTTATATTTTCAAATTTTAATTTTTCTAGAAAATTTTAAAAACAAAATTTAAAATATGAATTAAAAAGTACTAAAATATTGATAAAATATCTAAATTTTTATTTAATTAAATTTCATAGTAATTTTATATGTTTAAACAAAAGATTGAAGAATTCTTTTTGGTAACTTTTGATTGCGATTCGAAAATTTTTAATTACTTTATTTATATTATATACAAAACATTATAACCAATTCGATGTAACGAAAAATTCAAAATTGTATTTTATATCATTATATAAATATGTAATTCATTAAATTTCTCTCTTAAGAAGGTCTCTACGAAAATATTGTAAATATTAAAATATAATAGAATATCTTTCATATTAAATTTAAAATGAGTTGCAGTAAAACGCAGGGAACATGGAACGATTTGGAGGAAATGAAATATTTGCTTTGTGCTATTGAGTGCTGGTACGTTTATTTTTCCTATTATTCTTCAGTTAAAGATCCAATCTTTTATAGTTATAAAGAAAAAATCTTTGCGAAACTGAATGTTTAAAATAAACTTTTGAAAATATTGTTTTTTTGCAATATAATAATAATTTTTTTTTTATAATTTAAAGATTTAAATAAAGATTTTAATAAATTATAAAACTGGAAATAAAAATATAACATATTTTTATTTTTCTTTCAATTATTTAATTTTTTGCCATAAATTATATATTTATTATTTTTTTTAATTTTTATTAAATTCTATGTTTCAATCTTGAAAACTAATACAAATCTGGAACGAAGAAATATTCTATATTTTTTTTAATTTTTTCATCAAGTAACTTTATCTCGTAACTTTCATTTTTATTCTGTATAAATAAACAATAAAGAGAAAATATAAGTAATAAATTTAGAAAATAAAATCTTAATAGGAAAATAACAAAAAAATTATCTTATTCTCAAACTGTACAAATTTATTTTTCAGCAAATGTCCATGTATACCACCCACACCTGTATGTTCTGTCCTATTACCACCGAGAATCGAAGAATTACCTGCATATATGCCTGTTCAGAGACCCTGTTGTCCTCCACCGGTTTGTCCACCGATGCTTCGTTGTCCATCACCACCACCTTGTCCAGTTTCGTTTACTTCTTGTACGGCCTTACCTCCTTCTTGTCGGGTACCGATAGTTCCTAGTCCTTGCATTCCATGTCCTCCAATTTGTCCTTCAAGGGGTCCTCCACCATTGCGTATAGTACCATGTTGCCCAACTTCATTACCATGCTATCCAGGTGAACTTTGTCACAATATTTATTACTATATTTATTACTTCTTTGATAAGAAGTTAAGTATTATACTAATTATCTATTGAAGAGTTCAAAGGAAAAATAATACGAAATATTTCAAATATGATAACCGAAAAAAAAAAAACAGATTTTCTATGAATTTTTTTTCTTGTTTGAGAAAAAGAATACAAATTTTTGTTTAATTAAAATATTAAATACAAAAGAATTGTTTTTAAGAACAAATTTAATAATTTCTCTATGCTATTCTGAAATTATGCAAAATCATTACAAATTATAATTTTATTGTTGTTTTATATTTTTCAGTTTCTCACTGATGATATATATAAGAAAAATAAAACTGTTTTTGAAGAGTCTGTGAAGAAAGGTAATCAAATTGATTTCATCAAAATAAATTTTTTTTAATGCTATTGTATAATTGTAGTGATAATTGATATTTTAATTTGGCAAGTGTCAATGTTGCATACTACAGGACAATTGTATTAAAGGATTCTTGGACTATTAATCAAGTATGAAAAAGGGCAAAAAAATTGTAAAAATATTATTTGATATGTTTTTTCGGTAATCCTACATTTTAAAACTTTAACGTGCAATGATAATTTTATTATAATGTATATAATATATAATGTAACAAAAAATATGAATAATTCTGAAAAAAGATTGAGTTTTATTAGAAATAAGAATTAATATTTCTGTTTCTAATTACAAAGTTTAATTGAAGAAAAAAGAAGAACAAAAATAGGTAATATTGAAATTATGGATAAGGTCAGTAATTCGAAGTAAACGATAAGACATCATACACAAGATTTTTATTCGTATGTCGACACGGTCCCATTCGAAGTTTAAAATAATCATATTCATCTTGAATCGATTTACAGGATAGAGAATCTTTTCTAAGGCTTAAACTAAAGCCTAGCATACAATAAATCCATGAAAGTTTTAAAGTTTTACTACGATAGTAATAGCTATGAGATATCCACTATCTTATAGCAAAAACTTAAAAGTTAGTGGAAAAAACATAATTACTACTTTTGAGACGCAAAAATTGATAAAGTCACTGCAATTTAATTGGTCACGGATAATTATCGATCACTTACCGATAAATTTATATATATTATAATACATACTCTGCTTTCTCGCTTCTTTTTTAAAATAGATATTTTATTTTCACTTTTTCCGCTTCTTTTTCTTTCTTATATATAGATATTGGAAAGAGATTTCCATTTAGGTATAGAAATTTTTTCAGAAGAATAAAAAATTCTTTAATCGTTGCCTTATGTCTCATATAGGATGTATTATTTTAATCTTCAGACGCAATATATTATAGATTCTTCTTAAAAATCGTTTCAAATAAAATTTTAAACTGTTATTGAACTCCAAAGATATTTGATTTTCGATCAACGATTGAAACGATTGATCATTAAAACCTTATCCTTTAAAACGGTTTTTCATTTATCTTGATATAATTTTCGATTTCAGAGATATCTCTCATATAAAAAAAAAAAAAAGAAATAATTTTTCAATCAATCATTTACTTTAAACTTAATTAAACTCTATTAAAATTAAACAAACCGCTGTAATTCTGAAGATAGTGACTTCCGGATAACGAGTGAACGATCATTAAAAGCGTGGAAGCTTTCTCTTTAAAATGCATTTTTATTTATTTCGATACAATTTTCGATTATTAGGATATCATTGTGTAAAGGAAAGAGTAATTTTTAATCGTTTATTATCTTTGTCCTTGTTGTTCACTCGAATCTCTCGCTCGCACTTTATTTTATTGATCTATTCCAAATTCCAGACAAGTGATAGCCGCGATTCCTGAAAAAGTAATATGCAACTCTTAGAAAGATGTAATATATATTTTCAGAAAATAATGCAGATCAGGATCACGAGCTCATTCATAATCTCCACGTTATATTAAGTATTATGAATACTTTGAGTCTTTATATCTCGGCAATCATTTGAGATATCGCTGTAAAACAAACATTTGACAAAATTTTTAGTTTCTTTTAATGTTTTTTTATGCAAGAAATTGAAGTTTCATTTGTGATTCTGTGATATAAAAAATTTAGAAACATAATTGCGTCCGAAGACTAAAATCGAAATATTATTTTGTATAATTTTTTTAATCTTTAAAGATATACTTATTTAATTGAGTGATAAGTTAATTTTTTTATTAATCTTTCGTAGTATATTTGAACCTATTTGGACACAATCTGAAATTTTGGAATACTTTCATTATATTTTTGATTTTTATCGATTAGTAAAATTTTTCGATGATTTAAAAATTTATTTATTTATTTATTTTTTATTAATTTAAAAATTTATTATACAATAAAATAGAAATAATAATAAAAGAAAGAATAATAATAAATAATTTTGAAATTTTTCAGATTTTTTTAAAAGTTTTTTATTTTTTTGAAAAAAGTCCGAATGAATAAGATGGATTCAAAGATACTATAAAAGATTAACGTATTATCTGTATATTATAGAATCAGCAAATGTTAAATATTATTATATATTATCATGTAATCTTATGTTATATGAAAAATTTTTTGCCTTCAATTTCTGATTGCTTATTTTTTATTAATTATTAATTATGTAAAGAATTCTTTTAAATTTATAGAAAGATTATAACGATTTATTATTTATAATTGATGCCTAATCAAATATTCGATGAGTACATAAGTATTAATTGATAAATAATGAAAAAATTGCATATCTAATTTATAATATTGGTGGATATTTTAATAAATGGCATAAAAATATTTATAATTTGCTTATAAAATTAAAAAGAATTCAATATCATCTCAATTGCAACTTACAATTAGAAAGCTTAAATTTGTAAGTTTTTTTTAATTTTTGATTTAATACAGATAATTTACAAATTCGATATGCCTGTTTTGATTATTGAATCATAGGTAATCGCAACAATAACAATTAATTTATTTAATTTTTGAAGAAGAATTTAATTATAAATTTATCTAGAATTTGTTACTTATAATATTCTTTCAAAATAAAATTATAATATTATAAATATTTTAATATTATAAATATTTTATAATATTAAAATTAATTAGTTTTCACAATAATTACATATATATATATATGTAATTTTAATATAATTGCTGTAGTTACCTATAATTCAATGATAATTAAAATTTATTTATTTGATGAAGAAAAACTTTCATTTAATAAAGAATTAATTGACTTTCTTTAATAAATAACACGTAAAAATTATAATTATCGATAAATTTAGAAAAAAAACTATATTATTATTTAAGAACGAGGAATTCCATAGATCTTAATCTCTTTAAAACCATTTACTGACTCTTAATAATAAACTTATATTTTAAACTTTTCGTCGATTTTGTTTATTTCCATAAAATCTTTCTCATTATTTATTGTGCATTGCAAAAATAATGACAATTCGCTATTAATTAGTTAATCAATTTGAATGATTCATTATCAGTTTCTTGATATTTATCAGTTCAGTTACTTTATTCTTATAAGAAATTAATATTGCACAATGAGAAAGTTCTTAGAAAAATAATTTTACTTTATTTGAAATAAATTTTTTTCTTTCAATAATGGAAAATGAAATTGTTGGTTCATTGTAGATGATTAACAATACAAGATTTATATGTTAAACTCGTTTTATAAATCAGAAATCTAAAATAAATATTTTTTATTTTTTGAGAGAAGTATTCAAACAACATTGATCTTTTTCTATGGTTTTTATTTCCCCATTTTCGTCTTCCATTAAACTGTTTTCAACATAATTTCTTTTTGTAAAATAAATATACATAATAATACGATGAACATATGAGATAATCAATGCTGAAGTAACTTAATTTGCATTAAGAATAAAGTTTATATACACCTCTGATATGGTATCATAAACTTCATTTCCTTAATTTCTAATCCTTAAAATTGTATCTTGAAAATTTTCGTCGCAATATTATAATACTGTTTCACGAGGTATCTAATAGTAAAAACAAAATTTGCTAATATTCAGCCATTCGATAAATCATGCTGAAAATCTGCTCAACTGTATTTATATAAATTTATATTTTCTCAATCGTGTTTTCCATTTGATATTTAAAATTGAAAATATATATACACATGTATAATCTTTCTCTAATTTTTCAGATTCATGTCCATGATATTTTTTTATATTGTTCAATTTATTCAAATCGATTTCGATACGATCAAAACATACGAATTCACTCCCTAGAAATATTTGGAATTCTTCCCCATAATTTCGAAAAAAATAGAATCTATCTTCCATTTCCAATAAACGATGTTCTTTAAGACTCAAATTTGTTTACACGAAATTTTTGAAAAATAGAGAAATATCCATATAATTTGGAAATATTCAAATACTAATAAAAAAAACAAGATATTATGAACCCTGATAAGATATCTTTTAAAAAAATCTAAGAAATTTCTTTATTAAATAATATCAATTAGGAAACACTTCACACATAATTTTGTGTGTAAAATTATATTTTGCTATCTGATATAATGTGTCAAAATCTAATGAATGAAAGTTTTTTCTTTTATTTTTAAATTCTTTAAATTTTAATATTTATCTTAATTTATATCCAGTTTTTTCCAAATTTCATCTCTTTTCTGCTATATATTAAATCTATTGTATGTAAAAAAAGGAAAAAAATAAAATAAATAAGAAACCATTCGATTGAATGACGACGAATCTATATCGTCGTTATTATTTCAAACCAGGGAAACGTTAGAGAACGAACAGGTCCTCGCAGCTTTTCGTTTTCCTCTTGAAACCCAACAGGTGTTTCAGAATTCTCCTTCGATGCTTGCTTCTTCTTCGTCTATTTGCTTGGTCCCGATCCCGTTGAGGATTCAACTTAATTTGCGCCAGAATGCCGACCAGCAGCTCGTCTACGTGATGGGCGAGTCCTGATGATGTTTCGATGAATTTACAACCACAATTGTTTGCCATACGTCGACCAACTTTAATAAAAAAAAAAAAAAAACAATTAAAATAACTAAAAAAGTTTCTAATTAAAAAAGTTAGAAGTTTTAAATGATACTTTTTTCCACAGAATTATAATATTTTATAATATAGAACATTCTTTCACAAAGCTTAATTGACAATTTCTGAGGTGATTTCAAACAATTTTTTCCTTTGTAAAAATTTTCTTAATGAATTATTAAAAGTATTGGCCAATCACAAAGCACGTAAATTTGTCTCGATAGTGTTGAATATATGTTGCTAGTGAATCACTAGATTTGAACAAATAATTGAAGTAACATTCTAAAATGATGAATATTTTTAAATATATCTTCTGTCCGGATAATTGGTCACTTGACTGAAATTCCATAATTAACATTAATTTAATATTATTTATTATATATTTAATAACACAAGAATTTATGAATTAAATAATGATAAAAAAATTAAATTTTAAAAAATGCCAAAAGTTGAAATAGATTATTGAATATTC